GGTAATTTATAATCAGTCACAAGAACGTCGAATCTCAATCACTTGAAAAAAACACGGGGGTGCTTAACTTTTTTCCAGGTGTATATTTGTATATCATCTGAAATTTTTAATTATTTTCTTTTGCACAATGTGTTAGCTGTAGAGCATTGAAAGTTAACATTTTCCTAATCTGAAAATATATTTCCAACAGATACTCACCTCATCACACAGAAATGCTATTTCCATTGCATGTCTGCCTATGAGATTTGCATTTGAACTGTGCTTGTGTATGATGACATCATCATGCAACAATAGCCCTCCACCAATAGGAGGGCAACACAAACTCCATGTGCAGTAAATCCCCCTATGCACTTGTACTCATGCTAATTTCTTTCTTTTATGAAGCATGAAAATAAAAAGGTGCATTGGACGTGTGGAGGTCAGATGGGAATGTGTGTGTAGAAGTATCTATCAGAAATACGTTTTCAGATTAAGAGAATATTAACATCGGAGATGATAACTTACCTCCACAGAAATGCACTTGTGGAGGGGCTGGTGCAAAAATTTACCTCAAGAAGCTCTCTTCCAAAAGCACCCAAAGAGAATCCATGGAGTGTGACACTCAATGGCAGGTGCTCCATAGGGGCACACTCGTGGGAGACCACCACCATACTTCTCACCATATTGTGTTAATAAGCCCAACTGGTAATGATTATCCAAGGTCCACCACCCCAGCAGCTAGAAAGTGGTAGTGGTAATGATCTCCCATACTCCACTTGAAGAAGAGAGGGGGAGAATTCACAGTGTGGAGACCCGGAGAAGTGCCCCAAACCCATTGGAACCCCCATTCCAGCTGAAAAGGTCTTTTACTGGAGACTGTGCAATGGGTGACTGCGAAACCCTATTTATAAAAGCTGGCAAGAGTGAGCCAAAAAAGTGGGCATCACTTCCCTGGATCAATGTGAATTCTGGGAAGTAAATATACCCTGGGAGGTGCCACCAGGCAGGATCCTGTTCAACAAAAGGGAGATAAAGGAAAAAAAAACTAATCTCAAAGAAAGTGGGTTGATTGACTGGTGAAAGTTGCAATCCTGGGAGATGAAATGGCCAGATAGTGAAGAGAAGAAACGATGAACATGTGGGAAGCTGTCCACATGTCCACCTGGAGGATTTCATCCTAAGGCTGGCAAAAATGGGAAAGAAGATAATGAGAATGGTGTCAAAACAGATGCAATAGAATGCAAAATAGCCTGCAAGTATCCATACTCAGGGAAGAATAAACCAGCTCGTGGGGTTGATGGACCTATCCAGTAAGGATAGAAGAAGAGGGGTCCCAGACGATGGTGGGGACCCCAAAGGGAGATGTCCAAGATGAGTAACAATGCACAACCCAAGTAGGATACAGAAGTTGATCTGGGTGTGAACAATCATAGAGGTGAGAGATAGAAGGAAGGGAGAGAAAGAACGTGTGAAGGAAGAATAGACTGGTTCAAAACGAGGAGTATATAAGTGCAGTGGAAGAGGGTGTGAGAAGCATCAATAGCACAGACATCTGAATGACAGAGAATACAGGTGAGGAGGAGGAAATAAGACATGAGAGAAAGGTGGTACAGAGAGCAGTAAGCGAAAGAATCAAATGGGACGTGTGAGAGTGTGCAAAACCACATTAAGGACCCAATCAAGTATGGGAGTTGGCCAAGGAGGACAGTGAAGAAGGAAAAAAAGAAGAAGAGAGGATGAGAATGGGAAGTGCAATCATCGTGACTAAGTACTCTATGGCCTGCAAGGCAAAGAGGAGAAGGCTGAGCTTGTACTATGTACGAAATACTGAGTGAGTATGAGAAAGAACCTGGATATCTTGACAAGCCATCCCAACCAAGCAGGCTCAAACAAAAAAAGGGGGGAGCAGTGATAAGAGGATGCCAATAGAAGCCAATCGTCCAAGAAAAGGAATGACAGCACCATGCCATGAAGATGGTGAGCAAAAGTCTTCATGATACAAATAAATATAAAAGGAGCCAACACTATGTTGAAGAAAAGAGTAAGGAATTGGAAGACACAAATCTGATGGACAGAATGTAGAAAACATATGGAGGATTGATCAATAACGATGTGTAGGAAGGAGTGTGACACATGATCTATGACCAGCCACAGACCAGGTGAAAAACGACTGTTGGCAGAAAATGAGACCAACTGCAGAAGAAAAGGAAGAGACAGCTACACTCAGAGCCAGAAATGACAGGATGGTAACTGACAAGAAGAGCAATGAACCAAACATCAGTTAGTGAGAGGACAAGAAAAAAGAGGAAGGCCTGGAATGGGTAGGTTAGGGGTAGACTGTTCCAGACAAGGAACAGGAGTCAACGGGAAAGGTCGAGAAAGACCCAGAAAGATAATGAGGACTGAAGTCATAAAACGTCAGTCCAGGTCTGAAGTGAGAATGAATACCACCAAAGATATTCAGCCAAAGAAAGGGAGCCCAACAAAAAACCATGAATACAAAAAGGAGGAAGGAAGGTGTACAGTAACAAGGAACAAAGCTCGACTAATGAGTCCCAACATTGGGAGGACAAAGTAAGGAGGGACAGAAAAGAAGTGGTACAGGCTAAGCTGGCAAAGAGAAAGGAACAAACTTCTACAGAAAACCCTCTCTGGAGCACAATGAAGTGCCTTAGAAAAAAGATGGAGGAAGGAGAGGGACTATAAAAAGGTGTTGAGAAAAAGATGAAAATGGGAAACCAGAGAGCAAAATAGAAAGCAAGGAGCCCAATCCCCAAGCAGGCAGAATAGATACCGAAGACAGAGAATCTAGAAATGAGAAGAAGAATGTCTGCAAGTCAGGACAAAAACAGTCACAAATATGAGGGGGACAAGGCATTTGGGTGTAAGTAAGGAACTTTTAGAGAAAAAGAATTAGCATAAACCCTAATAACAAGCAAGAAGAAAGACAAAGCAAACCCCAAGAATTAAGTTCATGGAGTGAAGAATGAGCAATACTAAAGTACACAGGTGAAAGATAATTAAGGGAACATACCTAAGAATGAAATCCATAAAGAGATAGGAAAATAAAGGCCATTTCTCAAATGGTAAAGCACTACCCCAAGTAAATGAAGTTTAATTCATAGTCCAATAGGACATTCCCGAGGGAGGAGAAAGAATTTCAATCGAAAAGATGGGTTTATGAGGCCCAGTAAGCCAATACAAAGGCTGTAACATTCCCAACAGTTAACAAGCCTCCAAAAGCCATAGTAGAATTGAGGTCAACACTCTTGAAACAAAAGTTAAAAAGAACGTAAATCATAGTTTCATTAACTAATGCAAATCTCAACAAACTGAACTTAGATGAGAAGTTGGAAGACGTCTGCTCAATGCAATGCTGAAGAAGTTATCACGAGTGCAAGTACATGGGGAGAGAGTTACAGAGCATACAAGTTGTGTCATCCTGCTATTGGTGGAGAGCTATTGTTGCATGATGACATCATTGTGCTCCAGCACAGCTTACATTAAACACATGAATTTAGGTGGGAGTTAACTCAAGATTACTGGCATTCAAATCTCATAGGCAGACATGTGAGGTATATAGCATGTGTGTGTGAAAAGATGAGTTATAATCTTGGAAATTAATAAAATTGTGAAGGCTAATTGGCATAGATTATATAGCAGGTAAACTTTTCCTTTACATACAAAGCATATTTGAACTTCAAGCCTAATAGTCGATTTTTATGTGCCTGTTGGAATATGTATTCAGATGTAATGGTATTGCATTATTTATACAACACAGAAAGGTAAAGTATTACCTTATTGTATTTCCTTGTGTATTTGTTTTATGTTACTGGAGTAATTGTCTTTAATGTTAAAGAAGTTGTGGCTTGCACTCATATAGAGCAATTCACGTTGGACATGTAAAAGTATCATTGTACAAATAGCCCATATTTGGTTTCTATGTGAGCTAGCAAACATATACACATGGACTGACTGACACACATTGTTCTTTTTATTACATAGATATATGTAAGGAAAGTTTAATTATAATAAAAATTCACCTTTCTCTTTCAAAATAATTTTATACAGCATAAAAAACAATCGTCTTAGGTAAGCAAAAAAAAATAAACTTTTACATAAGAATTTTAACATAGTCATTAGGCTTAATATTAATACTTACATAACATCACAAATGAAACATGCAGGTTGTATCACACCTGTTTTACAAAATTTATTACCTTTACAGTTATGTTCTCTGGTTCAATGCATTAAGAAGTCTGAACCTGTTAAAACTTAACTGTACTTATTCTCATTCTTAAAACCTCATATGCTGTTCAAAGTGTTGTCATTATCAAAAACATTTAACTTAAAAATTGTCAAAAACCAGGCTTAATTCTTCTTGCCTATGTCACAACATCACTATGATTTCTCTGTTATAGAAAGCAATTTGCTTCACTTGTTTTAAATTGTTTAATGATATACTTATGAAACCTTGATTTTGCTTCTTCAATTCTAGCCTATTGGTTTTTTCTCTGTTTTCAATATTAAAATTGTTACTTCGTCTACCTTTGCTTGACTGGAATTCACTGCTAAAATTTTACTGGCTTATCATGTTTTCCATTAACAAATCCAAATAACATAAATTACTCCATGACTTGTATATCTTTCCCTTATTCTATAATAAAGCCTAGCTCGAAACTTAGAGCATCAAATACTTGACAACAAACATGTTTACTTACAAAATATATTGCCCCACTTATGGTAGAAAAAACAACAGAGATTCTATGTTTACAAAGAGTAGAAAATGTTTATAAAGTCTGTAAACTCTAGGCAACAGGAAAAAAAACAAGCTAAAAATTCTTTCATTGGATAATTTTGTACATGTGATATAATGAGTTTTCTATTGCTATGTTAACCATAGAAAATGAAACAAAAACATTGCATTTTTATTATTATCAGTTAATCATATAAAAGTTTAACTGGTTAAAAATTACTGAAAAAGGAAGTAGATGATTAATACACACACTAGTCCCCACCCCAGAAATGAAATTCACTGTCTCACTGGATGTCACAACTTATTATATTTACTATAGCTATTCATACATTTTATGTTTGCAGATTTTCAACTTATTGACAATTTTTCATTATAGACTATATAGTGGAAAAATATTTTGGGAATGTAATGAGGTGCAACCAGATTTAAAGAGCTTTGTAATCCAAAGTTTAACACCAATGCTTTATAATGTTCAGATAGATTATTACTTATGACATTGATCTTGACTGAAGAGACATTTGTTGATATGTACTTGTTAACATATAGTCAGGATTTCACATGCATTTTAGACTGAGCTTCAAATATTTAGAAAAAATCTGTCTTTTAAACTTTAACAACAAACTAAGTATTACTAGAGTCCATTTTTAAATAGCATTTTGATACTATTATATTTTGTGCAATATAATTATTTTACTTATTCATGAAAGTTGTCATTTCATTCAGATATGCATATATATTTTATTTCAACAGAGCTAAACACTTGTGCACAAATCCTGATCACTAAAGCACTTAAATATTATTAATGCTTTTTTTGCAATAATCAATATAATACCTTTGACATTCAAATCACTAGCTGTAGTTGTATAAAACTAGCATCTTTTAGCCCTAGTTTATTCTTACCTTAGAAATATTGTCATCTGTCTCCAGCCATTCCTTGATGGCTTTTAAAGCCACCTCTGCTGCTTTATCATTTGGATAACCTTTAAATAGAATGTTAGAAGAAATAAAGTTACACTAAACACTGTTTTATTTACTTATAAGACTGCACAGAAATGATGAAAATGTTTTAACCACTGAGGATAAAGTACTGTGTTGTTTTTTCTTAAACGTTAATCTCGGCATGATACAATTTCAGGGGCTTTTTTTAAATAACATTATTATCTAATATTAAAACTTACCAACAGTAAACTACAAAAAAATTATTCACAAGATAATAAACATCAACATCATAATAAACAGCTGCTCTCTCACACCATTACTTTGTTTGTTTTTAATCTACAGATATTATGTATGACTTAAGATTTTCTAAACCTACTAATGAAATGCTCCAAGAGAATCAACTTTTTACTCACTATGCTAAAACTTCACTTATCTGGCTCACAGATATTGCTTCTCATATGCAACATACACTCATTTACTAAAACTAGTAATATATTTAATGAAATTTAAAATAATGCCATATGTTAGAATAGTTTTTACTGAAAGGTTTGGTTCACATTTGATGTATAAATTTGTAACCAATACTGAAAATTCTTGTGTTTTTCCACCTGTATTTCAGAAATTTGATCAGTAACTCACTGATAATCTAATAGCTATCAGCATTCTGGTATTGTTAAACTAAATTTAAAATTCAAATGCATCTGTGACTTTTATAAGTTAGTGCTATATCTGTAAAACAACCAAAATTTTTTATAGATGTATGTATAAAAAAAGGCTCCACATTTTGGTTGTTATAAAAAAAATATAAGCCTAAGAAAAAGAAAATAAATTTAGCATGTAATGAAATTTTACACTGAACCTGTACTGGCCTATGCTGATTTGAATGGACACTGTAAATTGTAGTTAAATTGTGATATATGTTTACATAATCTCAGGCTAAAAAGCAGCCAGCTTTATTTAAAGAGCAAACTTTGTTAAGTGGAGTTGTTTTTATCCCATCAGCTGCCATAATCTAGAATTCCTCCCTAACCTTAGAAAATAAACTGATAGTTCAAAATCAAAGAAACCCCTTCAAATTTCAGGCATACTGTTGATTCTTCTGCTTCTAGTTATGTTCCATAAGTAGATGTACTTAAACCTCTAAATCTGAAAGGATATAAGATGTGTATTTGTTTCCAGTAAATGAACTACAACTACTTTTTTTTCAAGGGATTAAAACAAAGAAAAATAAAGTAAAGCAAATTAACAGTAGTGTGTGTCATTTAATAAAATAAATACACTAATTGCAGTACAGAATGGGTTTCAACAATGTCAGGTAAATGAGTGTTTCTTGTTTTTTCTATTCATAAAAGCACCCATTGTACTCCCAAAAGTGTTTATTGTTATAAAGGATAAGATATTACATTCTATGTTACTGCTTATGCTTTAGAAGCAACATTACACAACCAGTAATTTAAGCATCAAAGATTATGCACACATATATCAATCAATCTCAACCAAGCTTTGTGGGATAATAGTTTGGAATGAGAAGCATGTTACTGAGCATTTATTATCTTTGACATAAGTTAACTTTAACTACATTCATAGATGGCGCCACATCCTTACACCAAAAACAAAAAAAACATTTATTAAGTTTTCTATAAAACAACATGCACACATTGTATGGGGAGGGTGCATAAACATGTCAAAAATATCTCGGAGAATGCACTAGCACTATCTGTGGAGGAATGCAATGAAAAAAATGGCTGCCACTTGTCAAATATATAAGACTGTTTAGTGTAATAGTGGTTAGTGCCAGTATTCAGTATCATAGGTTCGGGGTTCAAATCCTGCTAATTTCACAAAGAGTATTCAGGTTGTGACACATGCAAAAATGTCTGATATAACACCTGATGATGGCCAGAGAATTCACTGGTCAAAACATTGTGAAAATAATACACATAATAAAGATGAGAATAATAGTCTGAATAATTATACCATTAGTTTTTATAACAAGTGTTAAAAGTAACAGTTATGACAAATTTTGTTACATAACTTGGTATAGTCGCACGCTGTGTGTGTGTGTGTAATTCAATTGTCGTAAATTAATGTCACACTACTCGAAACTTCTGTATTTTTCTTGTTGCCTTAAGTGATTATTGTTGCAGCATAGTGTCTTGCAGTTTGTAGAAAGTTCTAGGCCTCAGATGGCAGAGTATATATAATATAATGACCAAGTGAAAGCAAGTTAAGTGAGAGATAATTGGATAGATCTAGACTGAGTAATTGGCAGTTTAGCTGTGACGGGCAATTTCTAAAGAAGTTAGTAAAAGTTAAATTAGTCTGCATGATTGTTGATTTAGCTGTATCGAGTGATAGTTTCACAGTTTAACAGATATAAAGAGAACAATTTGTCTTGTCAAAGTGTGTTCTAAAGTAATTGAATCCATCTGCATGGACTTTGACAAAAAAGGAGACACTTATTTAAAGTTCTGGATGCAACTGTGGTAACCCACAGGGAAATGTAAGTGAATTTATCACAGATTGTATAGTTAGAAACAGAGTTGAGGAAAATAATTGATCTTGTCAACTGGATTCTAAAGTAATTGAATCAGCCTGTGTGAACTTTTGAGAAGAAAAGAGAATTATTTAGAGTTTTAGATACAACTGTGATATCCTATAGTGTAAAGAATTTTTGTACCAACATTTGATTTGTTTGAATATATTATTTTAAAAGAAATGGATTGTGTGCTGTCTGTTTATTGTTCGAATTTATCGCTAACAAGTCACAGACACCTACTGTAAAGAATCCAGCTCATACTCAAAAACCTGACCCCACTATTGGAATACTACATAAACTCAGCTGAAAATTTCTACTCCAACAGCCACCATAAGGCTGATATGAAGAGCTGTTTCTTGAGTTATACCCACTTCTTACTTTGACCCGTGACCTTTGAACTTTGGCCCACCAAATACCTCTGGAGCCAAAGACCGTCTATTAATTAATCACGTGAAACACTGTGGAAGGACATTAAGAGCTAGGTGTTGAATGCAAGTAACAAAAGGCACCCCTACCACTACTACTTTGGCTGCTACCTCTTCCTACAAAATCACCCTGACCATTGCATGGTATATACCATGTTTTAAGTACATACATATTGAGTTCTTAAAACTTATAGAAAACTTTTGGTGAGGTAATAATGAATACTGTTATAATATGTTATGTTATAAATTGTGTGAAAAGATTTTGTTTTATTTATCATAGCATCCACCAAGACAATTTTTTAAGTTCATAACCTGGACAAAGAATTGGTAACTCAGCCTGTTTATTATTATTAATAGAAGAAGCTTTTATAAAATAACAAATGTGACAAAACAAAAAACATTCAAGATTAAGCTCCATAAAATAGCTGATTATACAAAACATGTAATACTTCTAATGTTAGAATCCACAAGTATGCTCAAATGTTACTACTTTTAGAAAACTAGCAGCCAAAACAGTAGTTATTACATAATGAAATATTCTAACTTTATGGCTAATTAACTTACCGTAAACTCCAGTAGAGATACAGGGAAAGGCCTGTGAAGGAAAAATATCATGTAAAAAAATCTAGCTTCTTATTTATCTATTATTAACTGGCTGAGATACACGTGTTATTTGTAGTTTCTTACAAACATCATCTCCCATAAGAAAACTGTAAATGATTTGATAACACCTTGAACAAATGTTCAAATTATTGCACAATATTGTTTTAATGATTTTTACACACAACATATACACTTATCTTTTGTCTGTGTTAATCTAGTGCAAACTCTTGTGTGAACTGGTATTAATTATAATGTTTTAACTATTAAAGATACTTCATAACAATAAATAGAGAAAAAATTAGAGGTTTTCAGATGATATAAGAAAGGTCTAGATAGATAAATTTCAAGTACGTAAAGATTTAAAAACTCCACTTCATCGACTTTGCCTCTTCTTCTCCTCCTCAATGGTCAAGTTTTAAAGTGCCAAGCTTATTACAGACTTATGGGGCAAGTGACGCTCGTAACACGTAATGATTATCTAGAACGTTCCTAAAGGCTTGAGTGCTTGCTAGACTCACGCTTTTATAATATTGGTGTCAGAAGTGGGATAAAAAAATAAATAAATAAAAAAAGAAGATGGAAACGAGAGGTGGCAAATCAAACTACAGCTTAGCAGATTTGATGGTAGCAATAGAAGAATGAGAAAAGAAACAAGAAGAAAGATTAAAACAGTTGTTGGAGGAAAAAGAAAAGAAACAAGGAGAATGAGAAAAGAAACAAGAAGAGAGATTACATAAGTGGCAAGATAACTTGCAACAGTGGCAGCTCGAACAGCAAAATAAACAAGAGAGATTACAGCAGTGGATGGAGGAGAAAAAAAATAAACAAGAAGAAAGTCTCCAACAA